TTCCGCCTCCTCATCCTCAGCAGTAAAAACAGGGATAAAATATGCCGGCCTCTTGAGGCTGTCCCGCAAACACTTCACTAGACCTCCGACCGACATAAAAGCCCCTCCTCATGGACAAAATTCCAACATGGCAGACAAGGTCAGCCGAGCCTCCTGGGCACCGGTCATAAAAGTGTCCTTATCCCGCCCCCCTCCCCCCGGTCTCGTGTGGTGGCAAGCAGTGCAGGCCAATTTACGTTGCCTAACTTTTCGGAAAATGTCACTCCTGCATGAAAGGATGCGTGCGCGTTGTTTGCAGCACCCTGCCTGGCTCTTGTGGGAAAAAGGCGCCAACAGGGGGCTGGAGTGGGGGCGCAGGCGGCGGGGGGAGGGGGTTCGCGTGCGAAGGCACGGTCTCGACCGAAAGCTAACAAGTGGCGCAGTTAAATAGGGAGGAGGATAGCATTCGCAAGTGTTTGGAGGTATCGTCGTTGCTTTCGCTGCGTGAAGTTGTGCGTATGTGTGGCATCCTGTAAAAAAGCACTGATTTACCCCCTCCTTCCAACCATGCCGGTCGGTGTCTCCTCACCGCTCACCCGGCTGGTTTTCCCAGATGTGCGACTGCCTAGCCTGTTTGCTCACTCGCCTTTTGGAGTCCGCTCTCTCCTGCAGTTGAACTTTATCAGTGCTGATCGAGAAGAAATAATTTTGGGCGCATGCTTATTGCATAATACCGGCTGTCCCTGTTTTTTAGCAACTCATTCTTATCGCCTTCATCGGCTAACCACGGACAGTTTACCATCTTGGAAAATTCTGCAATTTTCTGTAAACATGCTTTGGAAAAGTTACGTTTTTGCGTGCATATCGCCGTTCATGGCTTGGAACACGCTTCGGGACTGCTTTACGCGAACCTTACATTATTAGGCACCACTCGCGGGATGCGGCTTAATTTACCGTCGGTCCACTCTCTTTTACTCAGTAGAGAAACTGCTCGTGCTTGTTTGTCAAAAGATTTTTGAATGTAGAACATCCTGCACTCGCTTAATGCGCCGTGCACGCGTTTACATCTTTGCAGTCAAAAATGTGACTCGGGTATGAAGTACTCCACATACAGTAAAAGTGATATCTTGAAGAACGAGCCACGATCGCCGGGACAAGAGATTTATTCGCCTGACGTTTCGGATTCCTACCCGAACCCATCAGCAGAGACAAAAGCAGATATGGGGTGATATCTTATTAAATGTTAACCGAAATTCTGAAGTGTGTTTCCGATTAGAAAACATTACTTAAGTGGGGTGGGAATATTAACTATCATGCAACATAATTAGCAGATATTTAAGTCACGCCAGGATGCTGGCTTGCACCTGACCACCTGCAAAAACTATACTGTAAAAAATGATTACTTAAGCAGCATGAATTTTCTCCATCGACTTTCGAGGCCCTTGTAGATTCAAATGTATGCTAAGGAAAACATGCACAAACGCATTCCTTTTTGTACTCCAAAGTTCATGCTTAAAGAAAGGGTATCTGTCGGTTTTAAAAACTTTCAGTTCCCGAATAACTTTGAATCCGACCTACTGTGAAACCTGCATTCAGGATTTCCGATCTTCAAGCCGCATGTGTTCCGTGCAGGGAAATTCATACACTTCTATATCCTATTAGGAAGATACCGTCTAGCTCTCATAAAATTTTGCGGTGGATTTGGACCGTGTTGTGTACTTTACAAGCAAAATTAATTAGTTTAGAGACATTTTACTGTCTTAAACATTACGCTATTATAAACTTTATTAAAAGCGGAAATGAGCCATACAGAACGCGCTACTTTCTACCAAATGAGTGCAAAAGGAATGCGTTTGTGCCTCTTTTCCTCAGCATATATTCGAATCTACAAGGGTCTCGAAAGTCTATGAGGAAAATTCATGCTGCTAAGTGATCATTTTTCACAGTGTAGTTTTTGCAGGCGGCCGGAAAGAAACTCGTTAAAAAGCCAGCATCCTGGCGTGACTTAAATATCTGCCATTCATGTTGCATGATAGTTAATATTCTAGACTCACTTAAGTAATCTTTTCTAATCGGAAACACACTTTAGAATTTCGGTTAACATTTAATGAGATTCCACATCTACTGTGCTTCTTAAAATCTATGAATATCAGTTGATAAAAGTTGAAGAGAGCTGACTTTCTCCGAATTTTTAGTCTTTTTCGTGGAATAAACGATCCGTTCTCGTTTTATCTAACAGTACCTTTAATTTTGAAAATCTGCTCAAACGTATCTGTTATGTCTTTGGAAGACAATCGTAGAATGCATGATAGAGTAAGAATGCAGGAAAGGAGAGCAAGAAACTGCATGTAGGCAAAACGAACAGAAGGCTTACCATGTACCGTTGTCGAATCACATCCTGTAATTGAGCAGAGTCCGCTCGAAGCAACTGGCGGAAGCAGATCTTTTGGGCACAGCTTCCACTTACGCCTTGGCACTTGCAACGCACCTTTTGGGTATCTTCGATAATCTGTGAGGAGGAAGGTAGCCGAGCCGTTAGTTGTCAACTAAATTGAGTAAAAGCCGATTGGCTAGGATTATAAAGATGTAACGGAGTATCCAAGAGAGTCGGTGTTCGGTAAGGAATCACTCTGGATGGGATCTTCAAAGTATTCGTTAAAATCGCGACTGCTGATAAAAGCTACTGGTAGACAGCGGTTAGTGAATAGCCTGTAAATTGTGTACCCTATTGCCATTTAAGATTGGATTTAAGAACATTTGTGGTAGAAGAACGCTCACCGATCGCACTACTAAACCCACTCGTGGCGTTTTGCCTTGGGGCTTTCGCTCTTGAGCCTCGCCAGCAGTCGCACTGCGGCGCGTGCTATAGGCAGAATGGCACTACCTACTAAGATTAGGGAGACTTGAATGGCCATTTCTGGCTTTTTAGTCTTCGTCAGCTAGTCATCTGTGGTTTTGTGCAGACTGATGGCAAGACAATGCTAAAGACCCGTTATACTGTTGAAAGGTTCATTTACGGGAGTTGTGTTATCCAATCCAACAAGAACCGTTTCCTCATTACAACATCAATTAGTAATGCTAATTTGTAAGGCAAAATAATCGCGGCTAACTTAAGTTTATTTTGTCGACTCTCTTCCATATAGTAGTGAGGAAGAAAACCACTGCAGCTATCAGCTCCTCTATATGATTCTGTATGAACAGAAGTCGGTATATTATAAAGAAGACTTTACAGCAATCTTAATACCAGCTAGTAATTGCAGTGAAAGTATGGCCTGGATAGGCTGGTCAGGGGATATAAGGATAAAAATTATATTAGCGTTTTTTTTCTGATAATAATTCTCCTCAGCTGTTCTCTCTGTCTTCGCCTTCTTATTTCTCCACGTGCCGAAGTTGTTGTTCCGCTTCCATTTCGCTTTGTTCTTCCTCCTCCTCATTGTGTTACTGATATCTACATGTAGTGACTACTACATAATATTCTTCCATAAATCCCTCCGAACTTTAAGTATCATAGCATGTTTGCCTATCCGCTCGTGTACATGTGCGCAAACGAAGCCTTTATCTGGTCCACTTTCGGACGTCAGCTGAGAATTACTTAAAGTCCCATTCCGTAGTGTACAGGAGATTTGGGCTTTAAAACTACTAGCAACATCTCCTGGATGTGTTTCGCTAAACTAGAAAGGGAGGCTAACCGTCTCCGGTATGGTAGGGGAATAGGAACCCCCTCCGGTAGTACAGAGGTGCCCTCGCGCTGAATTCTGTGAACGGTGTCCTCACCCTAATACCAACCACAACCTTGACCCTGATCCTGCTTTAAACCTGGCGCTAATCTCCCTGGAATTTAACGTAAGTTCACCTATATCACGGGGGATTCATATTCCCGTTTCCTACCTATTTACTTTAATGCCCCAAAGGGATCCGAAGTTGGAAAAAGTCTTCACATGAGGATATCGTCGCGCCCAAAGAATCGGGAATCTGTAGGGCTAACAGTCAATTTATAGATCTTCCTATGTGTGGGTTTTCAATTAAAAGTGTAGAGTGTGAGCAGCTGAGGTGTTTACCAGTTGACCTGGAACGGCGACCGTTTTAGCTCACTTTCATTGCCACCATGCTTCTAATTACATATGCCTGGGGATTTTGTAGTCAGGTAAGCCTTGATTTCGCTTACAGGAGCTTAAAACCCGTTTGTTCCAAGAAACACTATAAATAACCGGGTATCTTTAAATATGTGCAGCAAAATAAAGTGCGACAGCTCTTATGACCACGTTCATGTGGTATTTAGAAATACAACACAAACTGTCAGAAGGTATGAACAAAAGGCCTGTTGGGAACTCGCCTTGATGCCAACTTTGTAGTTGTGCAAATTGACTGTCCTCATGACATTCTTGAAATTGGTTGCCTTCCGAGGTTGCAATCGGAGGGGCATTGGGAGCCTTTCAACAGGCACGGAGAAGAGGGGGTTGCTTCTATACTCCACCGGAATCCGTCGTGGCGTCGGGGGAGCATCGCTCGGGACGCCTAAGAAGGCCTTAGTGTACTCGCGTCCGACTTGGATGTTGTCGGCGCAGCCACCCCAGTGGTACTGAATCGGGGCTTTCCCATTCGTGTCCAGTGGTTCGTCCACCATGTGTGGATGTGGTGGGATGTCCCAGTTCTCGGTGCCGCACTCACAGCCGACCACCTTGTTCATGGCGCACCGTCTCGCCACCTCAAACATGAGGGTTGCACTAGCAAGAGCATACACCACTGCCTGCTCACGCGTACCTGGATTTGAAAAAAACACGAGAAAAAAAGCGGCATCTATCTGTAAGAGGTTGTCTACATTGACTGTAAGGAAGGGATAGCATAAAAACTCTAAAAAAGGCGAAATCGGAACTTTGATCTTGAAAACCAGTATGAGTTTTGTGACGGAACTCAAATAGTGCACATTTTCGCTTTTACAGCACTTGTTTCCAATAGATTACAAGGGTTTCTACCACAGTCATGACTCCACTTACATCCAACATGTCCACACAATCGTCCACTACCGGCAAGCAGAACCAGTCAGAGTTGGAGCTTCAAAAAGATGCCAAACTGATCAAACAGCTTCTCGCAAATTCCACGCGATTTTATGTTGGGACATAATTTTACGATCTCTTACAGCGCCTATATAAACAAGTCGTGAGCTTTTAGTCAATAGATCCTCTGAAAATGGGTATAATGTAGAAGTTAAAGCCGTTAGTTTCGTCCGCTGACTAAATTGAACCTTAAAAACGCCGAAAAAGCCTTTTTCTTTAAATAAAACTCCCTTTCTCACAAAAACGGCGTACACTGACTAGCTTGCAACAAAAGCCTATGTCAGCCGTCATCCATTTGTTTGATTTGCCTAGACGATTTGTTAATGGCAGCATTATAGACCGCAAGAACCTGTCACGGGCAGGAGACGTGTTGCACCTAGTAAAGTGGGGGAGGTTTGCCTGGCAAATAACTGTCCATATTTGCTGATTTTACAGTAATACTAATTCAAATTTGATAATGGGCGTCTAGAGGCACTGCCCACATCGTAGACGCAGACGCAGGCAGTGGGATTATTACACCAGTAGGGAGTGCAATATCGAACATCGTAATTTTAGCTTGGTAACCCCTCATTTTGACCCAGGGTCCAGTCGACCGTGGAAAAGTGGCTTTTCACCTTCAACTATGATCCCAAACTTCTAAACGGGAATAATAACATTATTAGGATGGGCCTGTCTAAATGTACTAGAGAAGAGGAATAGGGAACTTTAGTCATTTATGGGAGTTTTTCCTTCAAGCTGCGGACTTCATTAGACATTTGGTATTAGGGATAGGAGAAGCTACAACGAAAACTGACAATGTCTGCAGTCTGTCTCGGTCGCTCAGAAGTCGGTGTAAGCCGTCTTGAAATACGCTCGTAGAGCTTGGTACACGGAGAGGGATAGATGTTCTAGGTTGGTAGTCTACAACAGTCGTTGACTGGGTCAAACAGAAAATGCGTATTGTTCCTTTTTGCCGTAGATTTTTCTTATTTCTCGGATGAAAGCTTCCTGTCTCGGTGATCAGACATCCTTTTTGTCCTTTGTAAAACCTCGAAGCCCATTAACTCTAATATATTGCCCCTATGCATGCCGATGAACGGCACTAACCGCAAAATGGTCGTCTGTGTTTGAGCAAAATTGCATCATACGTTATAAACCACACCATGCTAGTGCAGCTGTTAGGCGAAAAGTATTCACAGCATACGTATGAGGTCAATCCTCCGCGGGTAAATTTTGGGCCATAAGCAAATTACTGAGTCATTTGAGAAAGTTCAATAAATCGGCCGATTAACTGTAAACTGTTATCGCCACCGGAATGTAGGGTGGCTTGAGTGTAGCCTAAACGTCACGGTCCTCACCGGAGACCCCGATAGAAGAGGGAACTGACCGGAATGCGAGATGTACTCAGTATAGAGGCCCGAGTAGTCGTCTCAGGCAGAAGTGGTCGCTGGCGAGGTCAGGGCTCGTGTTGACAGGGCCAAGTCATACCCGAGAGAGTACCCGTGATGTCCACGCATTTTACACATATGTGACATGATGGTTGCATTTACCAAGGAGCGCGACACCTGGACGGCTGGGACCGTGTCTTAATGCACATCTGGCGGAGCAGAAGTCAGTCGAGTGACTGCGGGTCAGTGGGTTCAGAATAAGCTGAGAGGACTTTTGCAGCAGGTACCTGCGGTGGTGCTGGCACTCAACTCTCAATTCTGCTAACCCCGAAACAGAGCTGGACAGTTTCGATGATGGTGGTCGGCTACAAACGCGTATCACAAACGAGACTGTAGGTGTGAAACCTTTACATTCTCAGGCGAGCACTATAGAATATATCAACAGAATGTTACCGACACCTTAAAAGGCATCAAAACACTTATGTCGACGAAAACAATATCCGTTAACATCACTACAGAATAGTATCGTGGGAAACGGCGTAAAGTAACAGTTGTCTAAACGTCAGATGCCGCTTTTACTTGGGGACAGAATTTGATGAATTTGTGAAATACCGGCAAACAGCAAAACGACATCAAGCCAAGTCAATGGACGAATTAAACACTATCCAATCAGCCTGTAGGTAAGAAGCTATCGCTATGGGTTGACTGTAGTTCTTTAGACAGGGGATTCTCCAGAGTATAGGAATTTTCTCGCGCCTTGACTGCCAGTCCGCAAAGGTCTGTGCTCTGGCTGCCCGAATTACTTCCTAACAGTCGTCTGCTGACGACTGGAAGAGTTTAGGCCAGATTACGGACTGTGCTTTTGACCAGGAAGATCTGGATCGAATGTTCATATCTATTGACCAATGAGATCTCCCAGTAAGTGCGCAGAAGTCCAAATTGCTCATAAGTAATTCTGAGTTTAGCTGGGAACTGTGACTATGCACAAAATCAAATGACGAAGTTATTCTGCCAACCTGGATTGTCTAGACCAATCAAACGTGCGAAGATCTTGGTAAAATCAGTAAATTAGAGAGGTTCTTGGTCAAAAATCATGGAATTAGAAGGCCTTTAAATCCTATAATGTTGTTTTAAGTCTCTAAAAGTGCCTCCAATGGAAGACTGCTATACACAGACCACCAGCTGGGACTATTTTTTACACTTTTGCAAGCCTACGTTAAATTGCAATTTGTTCCAGCCGCTCATGAAAACGGTGTTCGGGAACAATCGCGCTGGAGTAGGTTTTATTCTTCAATTATTACTAATGCTCACATAAAACCGCATATACCTTAATGCGATTCCCATGTGCTTTAAACCAATGCTCAGAGTCTTTATCGGTCTTCCTAAAAATTCATTTAAATAATGTTTACCGCCTGAAAACCCATCCGTTTGGGGGCTTGCTGATATGTGAACTTGCATAAAATGAGCCATGCGATCTGCTCTTTAGTGGCAGTGATTACAAACTGTGCCAACTTTCCCCGTTCTGGTCCGATGATTTTGCAACCGTCTGCAAAGCATTAAGACGGTAAATTCAGAACACAATGGCACACCCATATTCAACCCCGAAATCGAGCTAAATCGGTCAATGCACTTCCTATGGGTTTGAATTATTTCTTCTCGCGACCGAGGCAACGCTAACCTACTTCCTAAATTATGCCGCAGTAACTTAAGGGACAAACCAGTTTCCGGTTCAGATAATGCGGTTTTCTCAACCTGATTTTCAAGTAGTGTTTACTGGTGGTAGCAAATAAGCCATTAATACAGTAGATATGTTATCTCCTGAAATGTTAACCTAAATCCTGGAACGTGCTTTCATTTCGAAAAAATGCCCTGATTACTGTCTTCATATAAGTTATCATGTAGTAAGATCCCAGAACATTGCAGTCACTTCAGGAGGCCGATCCCCCAAAGGAGCGTCTTATCGACCATCTGCATAATCTACGCTATAAAAAGTGGACACCTAAGTAACGTAAAATTTTTCTATAGATTATCAATGTCTTAATAAATTCGGGTACATTTTGTAGGAAAAAAACTACAAAAGTATTCTTCTATTTATTTGACAGCAGAGTATGTCCTCTTTAACTTTTATACTTGAAGATGGAGTATCACTTGGTTTTATGCGACTTCTTTTAATTCCCTATTAATTTAAATCGGATCTGACGTTCTACTTACATCCAGGGTTCCCGAACCACAAACTGCATACCTTCCGTGTAAATAAAATCACATATTTCTATGCATTATTAGAAAGATGCCATATAGGGCTCATAACGCTTTCTAATGGATGTGGATCATGTTGTTCACTTTATAAGCAGCATTAAGTAACGTGCTGATACGGCGCTGTATGACTGGGCATCTCACGGCCTTAAAACATCTCCCAATTAGAAACTTATTAAATCCAAAAGACATTACTTCTTCAAATAAAAAATTTGGAGAAGAAGTAATTTTCTACTGAGTGAGTATAAGAAAGAATATGTCAGAGCATGTTTTTTATAAAATATATTTGTATATGGTGGAGCATCGAAAATCAACGTGAAAAATTCACAGTAACTAAGTATTTATTTTTGCAGAGTGTAGGTTGGATAAGCGGTCAGGAAGAAGTTCGTTCAACAACCGGCGTTCTGCTATGTCTGAAACATCGTAGGATTGTGCTGTCTGATAACTAATATTGTAACCCTGGTTAAGTATTCCTTTCAAAGAAAAATACATTTTGGAATTTCGGTTAACGTTTCGTAAATAGCACATCTACTATATATCCGTAGGCATCTGTATTCACTTTTCTTTCATCAAAATAAGCATTTTACCCAGAATATTTGGGACTATAAGGGAAAAGGTTGTAACCTAAAGACGAAAGAGGCCAACGCGTTTTTGTAGAGTTCGTCCTAGCACGATAATAAATGGTAAAGCTAAAAGGAACTTTACGTAGCCTGCAGTCGCTAGTTTCCCAGCAATTCCTTTGCGAGTTAACAATGACAGCTCAGTCAACAGGGCTGACAACAAAATTGTTCGAGGTAGACAAAGTCTTCTTAACGAGACTGTATGGGCCAAATATTAAGCAACATTGGCCAGAACCGCAAAGCAAAGATGTAAAAGCGATCCAAGTAACATTTAATAAGCAGAACAGGAACGATCAAGAGTATTCTCAGCAATCCCTGCTGTTTTAACTTATTGCTAAACCACCGCTAATAAGTTTAATTTTTCCGCTGATTTCTGATTATTTGTGTCGAAATTGTGGACAAGAAGTGTTGCACCTATACTCGTTATGTAGAACATTATAGGCTCTGATAGGCTGTTTGAAAATGGACAAATTTAAGTATTTAATGAGCTACATCCGCTTCAAATTACATGTTCAGCCTTCTTAAACTGCTTTGTAAAAGAAGCTATGTTCTACAAATGTATTTCGATATTTTACAAATATTAGGATGTCTCACCATAGCAACGTGCTGCAAGATTTGATCTTTTGTCCAGATAACATGCATATCAAGTAACTTGGAAGAGGGTTTGTTTTAAAAATGTATTTGACCAAAACATTCAGCTGTCTCAAGGAAAAAAGTTCAAGAAGACAGAAGTCCCCCTGGATTTTGTCCAGGAGAAAACTTCAGTTTGCATGATCCTCGAGGCGTATTTCAGATTTTTGTTCCAAATAAGTAATCTTTCCGTGAAGGACGGATAGGAGTTTCTGTGAGAAAATTCGACTGAACCCCCACCCGCATGGAGGCAGAAACTAGTACGAGATTAGACTCTGTTGATCATTGTCAGAACTTACTACAAATAACCCTTTTCTTTCGCAAATATTTTCAGCACTTAAATAAATGCTTCACACATCTCGTAGCCCACAATGCACTCCATCTCATCACCTGTAATCATATTTAAAGCATCAGACGACAGTCCTTTGTGCACCATATTTGAAGCCAAGAATCTTTTCTCCTCATCTGATACCAATAGTCTCATTCCGAAAAACCACTTTTCCGACACGCCCCAGATACAAAGCGTTTGCCAAGGTGGTCTTATGATGGTCCAATAAGCAACGGATTGTTAGTCTGTCTCATTAAACCTCACATGTATTTTGGTAAAAAAACCACTGATGTAATCTTCCTCCTCCGAATTCCACGCCTGGAGCCGGACTTTTCGGAACCGGATAACAAGCAAAACGTCTGCGGGGCTGGGGCTGCCATTCCCGGACGACCATCCAGCTCGACGTCTTATACTGATTTGGTTTGTTGCGAGGATCGTATGCTTTGCTAAAAATGCATCTTTTTGGCAGGTTATGCTTCTACACATGCACAGCCATGGCAATGGACAACACACACCTGTTTGCGCAGCACGTTTCAAATGGCGCTCGTGTTGTGGTCGTAAACCCAGCGACCGGCAAGAGTGCTGATAAAGCAATTGCTGTCGACCCCCACTCGTCTTTTCTGGCAATCCTTGGTAATAAATCGGAACAGGTCACTACCGCTCTGGGAAGGATGGAGTCTGTCATAGCCAAAATTATGGTATATTGGGGGATTTATCGGTTGTATTTACATCATCCACCATAGACCGGTCTACGAATTTTTATTGCTGCAAAAATACATTTTCTGATATCTTTTCTTCAGAGGCTAATATGATGGAGATACGAATAATAATGCCTCGAGGAGTGCTAAATGCAGTAGTAGATAGCGACAGGGACAACTTCACTCGACGATGGCACATACAGTCAGTGAGGGTTTCAGGAAATATTTGCCAAAATTCTGAAATGTGTTTTCGATCAGGAAATACTGCTTTAGTGAAGTTGTGATGTTACTCATTGTCCGACATAATCCTAAGATATACCAGTTACATCAGGATGTGGGCTTTTGAATCCACTTCTTTTCGGCCGCCTGCAAAAACCGCACACTGTAAAAATTGACTAGTTAAGTAGCAGTAGTAGGCATTTCAAATGATTTTCTATATTTTCATAAATTCAGATATATTTCACCGAAAACATAAACCAAATAAGCGTTCTTCTCTTTGTTTGTAAAAAATCATGACTTCTTTAATTTTTGATTGAAGAAAGGCATATTTAGGTCTTAAAAAACTTTTTAGATTCCCAAATACTTTTTAGCAAGCTCTCTAGTTGCATTTGCGTTTAGCGTTTTAAGTCTACAAACTGTATACTCTCCTTGTAAAGAGAGTCACGCATATCCCTACGCCACCAAGAAGATATCATGCAGCAATCGCGAAACTTTGCAATAGGTGCAGGCTATGTTGTATACTTCCTAAGCAGCCTTGACAAATGGACAGATACAATGCTGTTTGAATGGACATTTCATGGTCTACAAATGCCTCATAATTATATTTTAAAACCAAAAAACACCCTTTATTCGGTATCAAGTTTAAAGAAGACTTAAGCTACCATCAAATGAGTCCGGAAAAGCGCATTTTGATCAAGTTTTCAAAAAACATATATTTGCATAGGTAAGGACATCAAAAACTGATGGAAAGGATGTATATTACATAGGCAGTCATTGTTTACCGAGTGGGTATTTTCAGACAGCCGAAGGGGATGCATTCAAAACCCCGCATCCTGCCGTGACTGAAACATCCCGGGACTGTGCTATAAGGTAATTCATATTACAACCACTCTTGAGTAATCCATTCTGATCGAAAATATTTCATAATTTCAGTTAACATTTCATGCGATCGGTCACTGACTGTAAGTTTTCATCGAAAACTGTCACTTCAGGACTTTCTTCATATTTACGGCTTTTTCTGCCATACCTGCAGAACGCTGTATCGCCTAACTAGTTCACCGTTCACATAAACTGCAAGTTCACAATGAGTAGGTGGTATCATATAAAAATGTTTTAAGGCCTCAATTGGAATATTAAGAACGTTAAAAACGTCTATTGTTGCATCCGGCAAATTAATGCTACAGTATAATCCCAAGGTATGCATGAAACCATCTGTGACCTATAAGAGATGGGTCAATATAAAAATCCAGTTAACAAGCGAAACACATATCCCCTTTGCAAGTTGCTTGTCTTCCAAACCGACATGCCTTTGAAGGTTGCCTGCTATAGAAATTGTTTATTATGGAATGTACATCCTGGAGCTTATGATACAATATTTGACAAAATGACTCAGACTAAGCTGCGCTTCCGACAAGAAGACAACAAACATAAATAAACACAAATGTGCAAGCGTTCTTAATATTTTAATAAGAATTCGGTCACTCAACGGTGCTTCAAGAGGCGATTTATAAGACATTTAGTCCCACGAAGGAAGCTTTGCTGTCAGAGTACATGAACTATCTTTAGCAACAAAGCACCTTCAAAAGGAGTTCTGACCTTCATATTAAAAATGCCTTCTCATCGAACTTTCATTTTTTCTGAATTTGCAAAACTCATGTCAAGCGTTTTAGCAGAACATCAGATAAGTGGAACGTCCCGAAAATCAACGTGTCCCATAAATGTTCATTTTGTTGAGTGTACCCAGGAATCAAAAGTTTGATGGGCATTTACATATGCCAAAAACAGTCTGAAGTCATTTAGCAAGCAATTCAGGAACAGTGTGCATCATTTCTGATATAAATGCAATGTAACATGCGCGCGTAGTTCCTTGAAAGAACTTGAAGAAACTCAGGACTTTATTTCACATGTTTGATGCCAACTGCTCAGGGAGTAAGTTCGGATAGTGAAACAAGTTCTTCTCGTGCCAAGTGGTGTCACATCGAGAAAAACGCCAATATTTTGTAGAGAGTCTTGATTCTGATCCGCTTTATTTCTGATTAAATGTAATCTTTTGAAGAACAAACGCAACGGGAATCTTGATGAAGTCCTATGGAACGCAACAGTTTGCTTCGCTTAATGTAAGTGGAAACCTTTGCAAGACTCTTGGCATTTCAGATGCCTGAAGTTCATCGAGCATCTTTATTGATTGACGGCAAATTATCGAATGATAGAACAATATTTGAAAAATCCAGTCCAACCTTCTTAGGCCGTACAAACAGATATCCAGTCAAACCATCGATTTAAAAGCTAGGTAATGACGACTTGAATTAACAAAAAGAGCAAAGATATATTAGATCTTCAACGTCTTGAAGGCCAAATGTCGTGCGTCTAAAATCTAAAATGGCAAATGAGGTGATAAACTATCTCATTCGATCTGGTATCCCTCATATGTCTGCTGAACCTATGTCCGTTCCAAATTCCATGGGAACCAGTGCGCTGACAAATTAGGGAAAACAATATATGCAACCAAATGAGACCGGACGCCGGGCTTCTGAGCCCTAGAGACTACCTCTGGTTTTTGGCATTCTAGACATTAATTAGCAATTGCGATTAAAACGTTTAGGTTTACCTGAATTATTAATCAATTCCAGCACATTATTTCACTTTCGCAGCTCAAAAACTTCACAGTAGCAATTTTATCCTATGGAAACTAATTGCATTATTTCTAAAAAGCAGACTTTCAACGGCACGGAGTAAGGGTCAGTAGGAGATGTGCGTTTATTTGAAGTTGTCATCTTGTTCATGCCGGACGTCTCAAAGCATCAGTGGTATACTTTATGGTAAGACTGATTTGTTGCATAAAACATTACAAATCCCACATAAATGCCCCAATCGTAGAGCGAACCAGATAATGTAGTCATAAGTAAAACAACAATCAAATATGGTGCAGTCTAAAATTCTGTCAGTTACTACAATTTAAAATTGCAGCCTGTGGGATCATAAAAGGCCAAATAACTTGTCGCCAGACAAAGTTAGGTCAGTGGCATCCAGAGGCTGCCGAATGGGTCGCGTAGAGACCAGTTTTTTTAGTGGAATAGGAAATGATAATAAACGGACTAAGCGCTGGATTTTTATACAATTTTGGCTATTGAAAAATGAACGGTTTTGTTTAAAAACCCAGAAGAATCTTCAAAAACAGAAAATACTTGAAATGAAATTTATATCCGGATGTTACGAATAGTACCTGGACGCTAACTGTAGGAATGGAGGAATGAAAACCCAAATTTTGGATGGCTGACTTTATTCTGTTTAGGTCGAAACTGGCGGTATTTACAGCATAAAATGTTCGCAAACCGGTGGTTTGAGAGTAGTAGAAAGTTTTTGCTGTGAAATAGGAAAGTAAATTTGCTTCCGTCAAATGATAAATGGTTTCAAGTTAGCCAATTTTGGCGAAATGCATCTTGTCAGTTACCGCTTCATGTGACCCTATTTCTGTTATTAACCGTTCCTCATACAGCTCAAAGCGACAGAGAACTGAATGAGCTGAGCAGAACATGAAAAATGGATGGTCCAATAGAATACCTCCAGCATGTGGGTGACGAAGAAGTGATAAGCATCACTTGAAACTGGAATTTTTGGCTGTTAATTTTCACCGTAATTAACTTAAGTCTCGTGCTGACAGAAGCTTGTTCTCGATTGGGTGTAATAGCATTTCGCTACTTCCTTTTAACAAGCATCAACTCAGAACATAGGAACGTCCCACATGAAAAACAAGAACTTGCAACCTCAAACAGAGTAGATATAGTCTTGGTGACTGCGGAAAAAAATTGCCAAACTGCCGTCCTCTTGGGGAATTTAAAGGTGTGGAACCAGGGAATGCGCCAGAACCTAAGGCGAGAACGGCTGGTCTTTCTGAAATTCGCCAAGATTTTAATGAAGCTCCTAACTTTTTTCTAAACTTTTTCGACTTTTATAGGATGAACATGTGTACCGTACTACAAATGCTTTCCGTAAAGTACCTTTACCTTAGACGAGGAACATCAAGGCAATAGTGTCTGCAACCACTTACCACTACACAAGCAAAAATGCAAAGTCATATAAGGAAAGAATGACCATAAACACATACCACGCCGAAGATCAGGTGTTGTGTAGGGAAGGAGCTCTACAGAGGAACAGTTCCATCGACGGTCCTTGAATATCTGAGGGCAGTAGTAGGAGACCGCTTGAGCCGACTTCAAAACTGCGTGCATTGCATAGCTTTGCCGAGGATGGCGACAGAATTTAATTTGCTTCTTTCCCAGGCCAAACCGGTAAAAGGCATACGTACACTCGTCCGTGGAAAAACTCTCCCTCTCCAAGCTCTTGCTTCGTGGGTAGCGGTATAGGCTTCTACAAATATCATACGCACCTAGTCGGAATTGATTTGGCTTAAAATAGGTATTTTGGGGTTTTGAATGTCAACATGAATACATTTTGCGAAAACAGCGTGACTTACATGGCAACTGGAGAGTGGCGATTTAAATACAGAAGCACTAGTCTACTTTTCAACGTGCAATTAATCTGGGAGACAGGATGGAAAATCCAGTATTTTACATGCAGTCCGTATTTTCATTTTCGGATAGAATCCTCATAACACAGCTTAGTTCACGTGGTACTTTTTTGAAGTTTGTTAAAGCGATTGCAGAACTCGTGAACACCAAGTAAATTACTTTGAATTACCCTGGTCAGCACTGGCACGTTGAACTGTTCTGTGGAAAACGGGCTTAAACTTAAGCCGATAAAGTGTATTTGGACTGAAAGAACTGAACTGCGAAACCCCAGACTTCGAGATTTGGAGGTCCAATGAAGTTAGATTTTCATGCACGTTCTTAAAACCTATTTAGCAAAACAGTTAAAAAGTGATTGCGCTGTATTTAGGCGATATTTTGCGAATCTGCAAATCCAACTGATTTTAACCTACACGTTTTCGTTATTTTCATCAGAATGGGTGCGACAGCCAACCCAAGAATGCACTTGTATATTTGTATATGTTTGTATGAATTGAGGCTTTCAAAAGATGAATACTTTGGTGGTAGGATTTCAAAAGCAGACCACATTGTATACATTTGTGGTGCAAATCCACAGTAGATACTCAACATTATTTAGGGCTGACTTAACTATTCCAATAACACATAATCTACGTTCCTTCCCACTCGTCTAAAAATCTTTCGAGTCACGTGTGCAGGTGACAATGAAGATTACTGGTTAGGTATGGTCCATTTTGCTCATCTATTTCCCTTGCTCATATAAGTTAAACGCATCGCCCAGTATGAATGCATAAAATTTCTATCTTTATGCACGTTTTGTTGTAAGTTAGTCCTTTTCCATACATACCTGGTGTGCGGAAGAATACGTGCTTCGGATTCACAAAAATTTCTTTATTTCTGTGTATACTGAGACGAGGTTTTCAAATCTAATGCCAACGTCTTGTTATATCTTTACACAGAGTTATTAGTAGAGGAAAGGAAGACTGTCTCCTTTTTTTGCTTATACGTACACCTAGAACTCGAACTTTTGCCTCTGTTCATAGAGTTATTAGTGTTTGGAAATTAGTTCAATAGAGATGGATTGTATTGTCTGATTAATAGGCTGCCTCAGTCAAAATTCTTCGCTGTTAGAACGTCTGAGGAAACAAGTTCTCATCTGCCGAGGTACAAATATTTCACGATATAATTTTTTGCATAAAGAATAAACGAGATAACATAAGTCACAAACAATCTAAGAAGCGGAATTTAAATTTCATACACCGAATATCAAGGAAAACTTGAACTACTTAGTGTTTTATAAAGTAGCCTGAGAAGGTTATCGAGATGACTCGATTGTGTTCCGAGCCAATCAACATTCCGAGTGTACAAAAATGACTTTTCTTATTTTTAAAAATATCGTCAACTATTTCAGTCAGTGTTTCATAAAATTTGTGCATATGGTATCTTTCACAACGTTTACATGAAGTTCTGTCTGTTCTTTGGAAAAGAGCATTTTATTTTGCTATGTTGCAAAATAATAACATGGGCAGCATTGTTATACCAAATTTCCTATTCCACGGGAATTCTTTTTTGGAGCGCGTCAGACCTAAACCACTTATTTACCCATTTTCGCGCAGAATATCCAAAAAGCTATCCCAAGCCTATTCTATTTCTTACATCAGAAGTCAGAAGCCTTGCAAGTTACTGGTTTTACTGTATCCCTCTGTTGCCAGTAACATAATTATTGTTCATCCTATATCGCTTTGGAATTTCCATGCCTACTCACGTTTACACTTTCTTTATCTTGCTGCGTCTTCCTTCTATTTCTTTTTCCGCTATCTTCTTCCTAGCATATCATGTATTTGCTACTGTGTCCAGCCTCGATATCCCGAACCGTTTCACATCGGCTGCTTTCATGTTGGTCCGCTTGGGTATTGTTCTCTGATAGTTTATACATTAACTGGCCTACCTCCTGAAATTTTGACTGAAAGTCCGAAGGGCTTTCGATTAGAAAGGGTTGCTTAGATGGAGTCACAGTATTAATCATCCTGCAGCACAATCCTAAGATATTCCAGTCACTCCAGTGGGCCGGTTCTGCGCGAGTTTCTTCTCTGCCGCGTGCAGGCGCCACGCTCACCAAAAATGACTTCTTGGGTGGTATTATTTCTTTCATTGTTTCTTGATACCCAAATGAATTCAGTTATGTTCCATAAAAAAGTATACAAGACATTTTACAGAATGCAGGATAACTATTATTGCGAGCACAACCAAGTAATCTTTAATAATAATACTAATAATAATTTTTATTAAAGACCCGTCGGGGTCCCATCAAAGCAAAGACACTTTTCGGAATTTCGGTCAAAATGTCATGAGCTAAGCTATCCATTTATGATTTTTCCCCTTTCTGTGAAGTGCCGTGTCCTGTTGACCTCTAAAAACTTTTCCAATGGTCTTCAATCTTCTGCTCTTATTTTATATTTCTCTTTGACACTCCTATGTTTTGTTGCTGTGCCTCAACATCCCTCCGAGCAAGTGTGCCGATGTTTATTTTTAAATTTATTTGTTCGGACGGCCACATTGTAAGTTCAAACTTTAGCAGACGCCACCGACAAAGGGAAGAACAGGTTTGGTTTTTGCTGCAATTCTTAGTCCATAATGAGTTTTTTTCACCACCTCTCCGTCGAGTCTGTGACTAGGACCTGGTTTCCACCCGAGGCGCAGAAGGAAGTCGTTAAACGCCGGTCATTTGCAACACAGCTGTTATCACCTTTGTGGCTCCCAAAACTCCGAATTTGCGGTTTGGTGTGTTTGTGTGCGCCATCGTGTGATTCACTTCAGTTTATTGAGGTCTTGTTTGTTCTAACCGCTAATTCCCCATTCCCAGAATGCAGAATTTCTGACATGAGGGTAAAGCCTTCCGTGGAAACGTCCCGCTCGTTTGGAAGAACTCAATGACTTTAGACATTTGCTTTTACAGCCAGATGAAGTTGAATGCCACTAGCGGAAGTTTTGGTGGATTTTCCGAACAATGTTAAGCTGACACCAACTCCATCATCAACGAATGTGCCAGAAAAGTTGGCAGGTTCTTTCTCAGCCCTTAGTTCCATGAGTCGTAGAGGTGCTTGTATTAAGGTCACAATAAAGACATTTGAAACACAAATGTCTTGTAAAATTAAAATGTGAAATAAAATGTCCCCTGAAACGCGAACTTAAATTGCAATTTCGTGGGAAGAATAAAATTACAAGTTAAAAACTTGTACGGGACCCCTAGGATGCTAATGGTTCAGAAAGCACATGAGCTGTTTGAAACAAATCTTTCCCTTATTTTGCTTGGGTATTTAAGAAGTTTTGAGACTTTATCTTCCTGATTTGGTCCAAGACACCAAAAGTAGAGGTTAGGGAGTTTGGTAATGAATGAACAACTTTAGATTCACTATATCCACTTGTTACATAGCAAATGAACTGCAAGACGGGACCTTTCGTGTACAACCATTTTATTGCACTTTCACATTCCCTTTATTAGGCGTTTGTTCTTCCAAAAAGTAATTGCGAACTTCCGAAGCTAATTTACTAATGACTGAATGAAACATTTATGCAAAGTGGCCTACGGAACAGAGCCAACAAATTAAGCATATTAGTCGATAATAACTGAATACGAATCTCATCTAACCATTAGTCCGCTTTTTGCATGGAGTTGGTGTCGAAATTCATTATACACAGTTTGGGATTTTAAAGTATCCTCACAAAATCTCCTGGAATGTGACCAGAAGACCGATGCACGTAGAATATACGCCGAGATCAGTTTTTCTATCGTAGCACTACGGCCTTTCCTTAGGTGCATTTAGTGCCATAACAACCAGTCGCAGCAATGTTTCACTAATCATTTGAAATTAATTAGACTTCTTAGGGCGAGTCAATTACAAACACAGTTCAGCGAAGATTTCCGTTTGAAATAAAATAAGCCAATTTTTGACGCGTGCATTCACTTTTTCAGATCAGACCTGCAAGATAACATAAGGTTTGGTAGAATGGTTGTATACTGGTGGTGTAACTAACTGAGGCGAAATGGGTGGGGAAAGCGGAGTGTTCACCTATTTATTATTATCGTCTTGTATCAACTGGCCCAATCTCAAAAAGTTTCCACCCGACAGTTCAGCCATCGTGACCGGCGATTCCTACGGTGTACTCTACAGCAATGTGACAGCAGGGACGGTGGCGTGCGCGTGAATTCATTTATAATGGTAGTAAACTTGCGCAGCATCTATCGCACTCTCTCATCCTCCCCTAACTGGATCTGGTGTCAAGACAGAGTCGGGAAGACCGGAAGTGGGAGAGGCTGCAGGTAGTTGGAACGGTGAAAACGCGCACCTAGGCGTACCATCACGCTCCTAGTCCACAGGGACACTGATCGGATTTTATACCACAACAAAAATAAGGGATAGAACTGAGCCCACTGGGCGCGGTCTGAGCCTGCACATGGGCGTACAACGACACCATAATGTTGGCACTTGTTATGAGTGCGCACTCCCGATGAGGATTGCCGGACTACGATCTAGCTCCCAAGTTGGTCCGCTGCATCTACCGCATTGCCTTTTTTACAGGTATAAAGTTTCGACTAACAAAGGGAATTTCACATTTAAGGAATCGTTATTTTGCTCATTTTAGATATCTTTTCACATGTTTGCGTAATATATTACGGACGTTAGGAGATCCGTGTTTTCAGTCCATCTGAATAAAAGTTATCGGGTTGTGTGTGTATTCTCTTTCCACCGACCTATATTTGACAAAAACAACTGTCTAGTTATCAAAAAAGGGTGACATGATTAAGTTTATCAGTACTTGATTCAAACTGCTATCGGCATGTGTACTGATCCTGCTGACTAGATATGCATTTCACGGGGTTTTAGATCCATCTCCATAAGAATATGAGGTAGCCTGTAGTTATTTCCACAGGAATCACGTAGCCCATTTAAAAAATGATATTTTAGGAACATGCAAAAACGAAATGTGGTAACTAAATGCCTAAAAACATAAACGTTTTTTCAAACAAACCATGAAAAGCTATAATTTCCTGCAAGAAAACGAAAGTAAAAAGTAAATCTTTTGTGTCTTATCCCCGACCTTTTCCGTCCGATGACTTTAACCGTGGGAAGGCAATGCTGGAAGAAAATTTTGTCCGATGCTTACCGGCCGAATACAAACTTCAGTTCAGCCAGAAAACATTATTGACAAGGAGCCCAGACATCAGTAGTTGCGAACAGACCCAAGTAATGCCCCTTTCTTACTAGTCTTGCAATACCTCCTTCCAAATAAGGGCAAAGTTAAGCCAAACAGTTCTCTAAGTCCTGCTCACACTTTAACTCAGTGCTCTAGAGATGTCATTCGCAGGTGAAAACGGCTGACTAAAAATTACCCTCACGCTACTATTTAATGAAATTATAATTCCATAGATACTGGGTGCAAATGCCCAATTAAAAATTAAAAATAATGCAGGGAATAGACCCACTTGATCTTCATACAGGTATTTCATGTACGACAAAAAATTCATTTGTAAATAAAGCGTTTGGAGTTTCCCCCTTGCTTAAAATATGGAATCAAAACGACTCCTTTTTGCTGGAAACGAAGTGACGTTTTAGCCGTGATTCTATTTCGATGAAGCATCTTTTTAAACTTTGAAATACGACGACACGGCAAGAGCAAGCCTTTATGAATGAATTGAACAAATCAAAGAAAACAACCGGCAAAACCGCAAAAAAATTATATTTCTTCGTTTGTGGTTTACCGTTTATAGTACAATACTTGTGCGATGCATCAGCTGGCAGTCTCTCTTTAACAAATTTCATGAAAATATTCAGCAGCTAAAGCCCATACTCTTCGGTCAATTAGGTTGATCAAAAAGTCCCACTTTCAAAAACAAAGTGCGCTGGTTTCGGAGCGAAGGTCTAAAGAGCTTATTGCAAAAATAAGGGTCTACAGTTCCCATAGTAACTTAACTATGTGCATTATTTGTGCCGTGATACTAAAAGTGCTGAGATACCCGCACCTTCAATAGAGATTTTTACTAAACTTGGACGTTTGGCTGCTCTTAATTTTTGAAAAATGCAACTTTGGTAAGATAAAACTTGGTCATTAGGAATCAGTGGTGCGAATTGCTCTATGTATAATCATTCTAGCTAGCATTGGGTACGAATTGGGAGATTTATCCCACTAACCTTACTTATGAAGAAAATGGCACCCAACGCCGACGATACGTGAGCATGTGTGATAAGAAGTTAAAGGAATTTGAGAAAAAGATTTCGAGCGGAATTTTCATAAGATACACCAGCACCCGGAAAAAGTAGTAAATTGTGCCAAGCACATACAGTGAGTGATCGATCTCATACATGTTGGCCGAAATTCTGAAATGCGTTTTCGATTAGGAAGGATTACTTAGGTGAAGTTATAATACTGATGAGAATATGACACAATCCTATGATGTTTCGGACTCGCCAGGATGTCGTCTTTTGAACATACTCTTTTATGATTTTCTGTAGAGACCGCATTCGATAAAATGGCTGTTTAAGTGGCATGCATTTTTCACATTGATTTTTGATGGTTTTAGAAATTTAAATATATTTTATGGAAAACATGCACAAAAACATGCTTTCTTTCACTCGTTTGATAGAAAATCACGTTATCTTTACATTTTGTGTCCGCCCCGGGGGATTATTAAGATTTTGAAGAAGATTCTAATTATGGGATTTTTTAAGACCGCCCAAAATCCATTCATACAGCAGCGTAACTGTCCATTTACCAATGATTCTCATGAGATGTACAGCATAATTCTTATTTATTGCAAAATTTTATGGACTCTATCTGGTTTTTTTAAGGGCTTAGTGGAATATATGATTCCCCTCATGCGGAAAGCATGCCGCCTGTAGACTGAAATCTCTAAACGCTGATGCAACGACTGATCAGGCTCAAAACTATTCGGGAATTGGGAGACTTTTTCAAAACCTAAATATACCTTTTTCGGGCATAAATGTAAAGGCAACATGATTTTCCGTCAAACGAGTGAAAGAAAGATGTTTTTTTGCATGTTTTTTATAAAATATATTTAAATTTATAAGACTATCAAAAATCATTGGGAAAAATGCATACTACCTAAATAGTCATTTTTACCGAGTGCGGTCTCTACAGAAATTCAAAAAGAAGTGCATTCGAAAACCGACACCTTGACAAGTCCGAACCATCATAGGATCGTGTCATATAATAATCAGTACTGAAACTCCTTCTAAGTAGTCCTTCATAATCGAAGACGCATTTCAGAACTTTGGCTAATATTTCATGAGACTGGCCGCTCACTGTAGTTAGAAAAAACTGCTTTAACATTTCTTGAAAGTCTGTTTAGTAAAAAATAAAAAAACATCGACATCGCCGAAATAATAGTTTAAGTTTTCGAACTTTTCATACCTGCAATTCTCCTGATGACTATTGTACTTAGAAAGATTATGCTATTCAGCTTGCATTCTGAAAATATTGCTGGATGTCCCTTGACTGGGCAGTACACCCGTTAGCCAGCTTAGACGGTGAAATAGGATGTGAAAACTCTTGGTTTCTGCGCTACTTAAAATTTTGTCTTATGAAAAGTGGTAAAATAAGATAAGGTTTTTTGGAACTGGACTTTCCAATTTCGACTCCATTTTTTCATTTGTAAATTTATAAACAGGCATTCGCTAACCGAGTCTCAATACATAGAAAATCATGTGTAAATATGGAGAACACGTAGGAAATCAAAGACGTCGTAAGTGCATCATTCGGTGGGAAATCTGCAAAACAGGCCCTCCGACAATGTAGAGAAACACTTTTGCGAGTACGGAAATTTTTAATTTTTTACATCTAATTCGCCAAATTTCATTTGAATTGCCATCTTTTTAAGTAGAGGTATATCAAAAAACCACAAATAGAGCGCTGCGGTTGAAGAGCAAGGACCCTTCTAGTTGATTTATGTAACTGAGGAAACTCAACGGGGCATGTACCCACACTTTTTATTAGCACAGTTTGAAAATAGTGATACTAAGACTTTATTATAGCAGGCTAACTGTGCGTCCGTATTATCACTTTGTTGGTGATACACTTAAATTAGAAACTGAACAGGGCAAGCAAAGCAACGCTGGCGCTCATTTAATGTAGGGCAGTCGATAGGCGTAAAAAGTGCGGGCATATGCGCCTCATCTTCATGTTCACCCTCAAGGTTTTGTCTGAATACTTCCTTATTGACTGATGCCTACAAAAATAATAACAAAAACTATTTATTTGTTCAAAGAGCGACCGTGGGGCTTTTTTAATTGGAAAACTAGAAATGGCCCTCATTTTATCGCCCTAGCATGATACAACACCCAAAGTGCTATACGGAGTTTCCTCTGTGTCCAGACTGTGAAAGTTACAAGGGTGAATGTCAACACTTGGACTTACAACCATTTAATTCCTCCAACTGTTTGAACTGAGAGCACACATAAAAGGCATAAAGTCCAGGGGAGCATTCTGATATGGTCAAACTGTTTGCCACCGTCTATCACTACACCTGTAGGGATAACTACTACTCCGCCTTAAATACTACGCAACCGGGAGGGGTGGTGGTTGCACTTTTCGGAAGGCGCCTAATTACCTTTCATCCCGTTGGTCGGCGAGTGCGTGCAAAGCCAACCCCTGCACTGGCATCTGTCCCACCGCCACCACGGCAACCACAGCCGAAACCCACACCTGGTGCCCATCGAAACAGGCGCACACGCAACTTCCCATGTATACGCTTGATTGTGTGCATAACTGACCACTGTTTTTGTTTGCACATCTCACTGAAATCGTGTGTGTGTATAGTAGAGCCACGACAACCCACCTGCCAAAGCAAGATGAACTTGCCTCTCCTCAGATCCCCCCCCCCTATGTGCCCCTCTCCGTGCTTTGGATCCCTCCACTTCGTTTGTCCCTTTCGTCATGGTGCCTCCCGTCTTATCTGCGACAGGACTACGGAGCACCCCAGGACCGTCGCGACCACCACCGGCGTATGACCCGCCCAAGGGTCGTAAAACACTGGACGCTCAGCCGCCTTATTGGCGACGACATGTGCCCCAGCTGAACGAACATGCTCCCCCGACAGGACGTACGCACACCCACTTGTCCTGAAAAGGGGTTTCCAGGGGAGGGAAAATCACCGACTGACTCTCTGGCGCCGCGGTCACGGAACCCGTGGGGGCGGACGGGGAGGCGCGAGGAGAGAGATGGCTCACGCCTTAAAAAGGTCGGGTGATTTGGACGTCCACAAGACAAATTTATGCAGTCAAGATGCCGCAACGTGGGGAAAGAACAAAACCGGCAAGTGAATCCATCTTAGACCACCGGACCTGGCAAACTGTAACTCTCACAGCTCACCGAGAGAGTGCGTGTATGTAAAACAGAGTTCAAGCTAATCGCACTCGCAGAGTATTACAAACAATTACAAAGAAGACTGAAATAGTTAGTTTTGGCTTAGGTACAATCGCAGCTCTCCATGTAGCAACCCAGGACTAGGAGATTCTTACGTTAAACCCCGTAGTCGGAAAACGACACCGTCAACAGACCACCTGTATTTCCGGCGGATTTTTGACGAGGGAGATGAACTCATGGTTAAGTCAGTAAGGCGTTGGGCCCAGGGACCAGCTGACTAACGTGGCATATTATGAATTTAGGATTGAGGCTTTTTGAATCCATTCCTATACAGCTTCCTCAAATGACACTCGACCCATACCTGAGCTCCAAGTGGTTGTTGGCACTTGATATCAGTAAAGTTCTAACATAAATCTCTACCGGCTGGCTAAATTATACGCCAATTTTCGGCTATCCTCTCTTTTCCCCCCACCCCTCCCACCCCAACTCCACCGTCCTCAACAGGCTGACCCCAATATGCGTGCGGTGTGGGAACGTGGAGTCTGATTAACCCTGCCCCTGAGACGCATTTATATCCTGTCTACAAGTTTAATGATCATTACCCATGTAAATGTATCGGCCTGATGATAAGTTATCGAAAACATGTGTTTGTCAACTGACTTTTCAATCGTAATATGGAAATTTTCGCAGAATTTCGGCTACTCTTAATGACCTACAAGGAAAAGCAATTTCAACACACAGCACATGCTCAGTTCTGATGGATGGGATAGGAAGTCCTTAATCTTAAAGGGCAAGAACGTTAGATCTGCAGAACTTGAGCAGAACAGAAGGAATGGCAATGCAGAGTGCGTCTTGGTCACCCGGTGAAACCATAAAAGTCTCCGGTCGTTAAGTTAAAAGTACTTGGGCTTCCCGGATCTAGAGGCTAGAATGGCCTCCAGTAACCTCGCGCAAGGTTTTATTCTTGCGGCTCACTATTCAAGACCAGTTTGAAATAGTGTGAATAGGCGAGTCGAGGAAAAGAGTTAAGGTTATGATTATGAACTTGACCCTAAACTGCCTTTGAACTTTGGTCTCGAACCAAAAAATGGGTTCAGCGCATCCCAGGTGACTAAGTAGTTACTCTTAACGCAAAAATCGTTCGATTATGGAAAAATATAAATACCGTTTGAAGTGTTCATTGTCCGAAACCAAATTAGGAGATCAATGTAACCGACGGCATCTCAATATCACTATTAAGAACTATAAAGAAGATAAGTTTTGAAAAACGGAAAGGCTGGAGCCGCGTAAGACCATTTTGTCAGCAGCCAGCCAGAGAATAAAATCTCGCTCAGAGAGTTCAACTTGATGTCCTGAGCGGGAATAGCTTCCCGCAGAGGCAACCGCATCCGACCCAAAGATGTCTGCAACTTCGTCTGCAAAGTCGACCCAGAGGACTAACCGACGGCTGCGCACATAGTAATTGCTATCTTAGCCCCCCGACTGCGAAATTTGGCAAGCACCAACTAGTCAGATGTCGCTCTCCCTTTATCTACCCTGACCACATACCATACGCCGGTGTTTACGTCTTTTATCCGGTATTTAATCCTTCTTACGAGTCCCTTGACTATATCATGAATTCAGCACTTCCAGCTTGAAACTTCTTCTTGATTAATGGATTCACTGAGATTGTCTGAAACTGGTTCAGCACCTGGGAGGGATATAGGAGTGCAACGGGGCTGAAAACGATAGTTAAGGCCAAGTTACACAAATACCCAGCACTGTCTTTGCCCCCCCCCCTCCGTCCGGGCGAATACAAAACAAGACTAGTCGACATTCTCTCAAACTAACAATGGTCAATGCCAGGCCTTGTACCGATGTAGAAGTCGTCCTAACACATGATTTCATTATGGAATCCTGTGGTAGAGTACAATGTAAACTTTCCTAAAGACAAAAAAGTCTTCACTAGCCCCTTACAAGATAACGCCCATTAGGCCTCCGATCTTCATGCATACTGCCCTTACCAATAAATAAACCGCTCAACGCCCCCTACTTCTCGTGTGGGATGTAGGGCTGTCCAGCGGTGGGTTTACGCGACGGTCGTAGTACGTCGCTCACTTGCTTGCAGGTGCGGACTAAGCCTAGCGCCCACTTACTGGCACCCAACTCTCACATGTGGCTCCCCGAAGCTAGGCTCTGTCTAGCGGCCACACCCCGGTAAACGCCTCGACCGGCGGGCTGAAGAAGATGAGGGCATCCCTGTGTGCATCTGCGCGCACGGTAATGTGAACTCCGCTGGCCAGATGGATCGCCGCATCGGCATCATCGCGACGAGGCTCCGTCTGGAACAACGCAGAAGGCAACAAGGTAATAGAGCCCCCAGGCAAGCGAACGTTGTTCTGCCTCCCTTGCTCTATTTGTTCTTGTTGCCTGCTCTCCGTATGTTTGTCCGTGTTTGTCCTTGTTGAAAGCTAATTGCCACTCTGCTGGATTGCCTGTGTTGCCTTTGCTTCTTGTTGTCTTTGCCTGCCTGCTTTTGTCCGCTTGTTTGTGTCCGTCTTACTGTAGGTTAAGTGTCGTTCTGTTGAATATGCCTGCTCCCCACTCCTACTTCACCTTCCAGTAAACATAGAGAACCAACCAGAAGGCGATGCTTCTCGTCTCTCTACCCTCGCTTACGCGTCGTCGTAGGCCGTCCCAGGCTAACTCGAGTCGTTCTTCCACTACACAGATATGTGGCCCATAGTGAGGCTCGGCAGCCGCCCGGGACAACTAAGCAGCCCTATTTAGCACTGTTCACCCCCGCGAGGAGGAAGGGGCTAGAAAAGTTGCCATAAGCAAATGCTGGGGAACCACGCCGTCCGCGGGCTGACCGCGGCCGCAGACGCAAAACTCACGGTCGAAACAACCAAAACCGAAACAACACTCTTTCTCATTCTCCTCCTCCTCCCCCCTCCTCCTCCTCCCCGCCGACCCACTCTTCAGACTGGTAGGGTGAGTCCGCTCACTCTGACAGCCTGGAATGTTCGGTCTCTTTTAGACAACCCGAAGAGCAACCGACTGGGACGGAGGTGGGCACTAGTGGCTCTGGGACTAGCACGCTACAAGGTGGACATCGCAGCACTCAGCGAGACCCGCCTCTCCGAACAAGGCTAACTGGGGTAGATGGGTTCCGGCTACGCCTTCTTCTGGAGCATTCGCCCAAAGACAGAGTGATGGGACGCGGGTGTCGCCTTCGCCATCCGGAACGACATCGTGGGACGACTGCCCTGTCTGCCACAGGGCATCAACGGTCGCCTAATGAGCCTCCGTCTGTCTCTTCGGGCAGGCAAATTCGCCACTATCATCAGCGCCTACGCTCCCCGATGACCAGCCCCGACGCCGAAAGAGACAAATTCTACGAGGACCCGCACGCACTCCTGGCGACTGTGTCGAAGGTGGGTACGTTGATTGTCCTTGGTGACTTCAACGTCCGCGTCGGCAAGGACCATGCTGCCTAGAGAGGAGTGCTGGGTTCCCATGGTCTCGACGGTTCCAATGACAACGGCCAGCTCCTTCTACGAACCTGCGCAGGACACCGACTCATCCTGACCAGCATCTACTTCCGCCTCCCGATGCGAGAGAAGGCCACCAGGATGCATCCTCGGTCGCGTCAGTGGCACCTGCTGGACTATGTCCACGTCCGGAGACGAGACCAGCGGGACGTGCTGGTGACGAAGGCGATACCGGTTGTCGACGAGTGGACCGATCATCGCCTCGTCACCTCGCAGATGCGGATTCGCCTACAGTTTTGCAGGAGACCTCACGAAAAACGATCCCCAGGTGAGCTGAATATTGCCTTGTTGTCTTTGCCGCTCACCATATCCATTTCAGCAACGAACTAGCTCGACGGCTAGACAACCTTCCAGTTGCTGATGCCGCCGCCGCCGCCGCTGAGGAGAATGCCCTCGTGGAGAACCGATGGTGTCAACTGGGGGACACAGTCCATTTGACGGCCCTGGCCGCCAACACCAGGACTGGTTCGTTGACAACGAAGCCGCCATGCGCAACCTGCTTGCCAACAGGAACCGCCTGCACAAAGCCTACATCGACCGCCGAACCGACGCCAACAGAGCTGCCTTCTACCGTTGTCGTCGCCTCGTTCAACAGCGACTGCGTGAGATGGGGGACGCCCGGGCAGCTCGCAATGCTGAGAAGGTCCAGGGGCACGCGGAACACAACGAATAGAAGAACTTCCTCTCCGCGATCAAAGCAGTCTACGGTCCGCCTACTAAAGCAACTGCACTTGTTCTCAACGCCGACGGCAGTACCCTCCTCACTGAGAAGACACCAATTTTACGGCGATGGGCCGGGCACATCTGATGCGTCCTTAGTCGTTCCTCCACCATCCCCGACGCCGCCATCGGCCGTCTGCTGCAAATGGAAACCAAGGTTGATCTCGGCCTCCCGCCCTCCCTTCACGAAACAATCAGGCCTGTGAAGCAGCTTTCCAGCGAGAAAACGCCCGGATCTGACGCTATATTTGCTGAGATCTAAAAACACGGTGGCTCCAACTCACGGATCCTTTGACAGCGTTCTTCCAGGAGATGTGACGCCAAGGGGAAGTCCCACCGAATTCCAAGGACGCCAAAGTCGTGCATTTATGCAAGCTCAAATGAAACTGCCAGCTCTGTGACAATCCTCGAAGCATCTCCTCGCTGAACATCGCGGGAAAATCTTCGCTCGCATCCTTTACAATCGTCTGAACAACCACCCGGAACCTGGACGGTCTACAAGAAGCAGGCGCGGAGACTCAACCAATTCTACCTCAGCTATTTTCGCCAAATACTGAAGCTGAGGTGGCAGGACCGGATTACCGACATTAACGTACTGGAGCGGACGGAAATCCTCAGCATCTGCGCCATGCTGAGACAAGTTCAACTGCGTTGGAGCGGCCACCTCGTGCGAATGGACGACGAGCGGCTACCCAAACAGCTCTTCTATGGAGATGTCGCCACGGGTTCCCGTCGCCAAGGAGACCAAATCCGTCTCCACAAGGACACTCTGAAGACTTCCCAGAAGCGTCTGTAGATCAATCTGGCCAACTAGGAAGACTTCGCTCGAGACCAACCGACCTGTAGGAGAGCAGTGAAGACAGGCAAAGCGACCTACGAGACAAATCGCATCGCCGTCGCGAAAGCCAAACGAGAAGCACGCAAATCTAAACTGTCGCCGCCTCGCAACGCCAACACCCAACTCTCCCCAACATGTCAACGGTGTCAGCAGACATTTTGGGCGCCAATTAGACCTGTTGGACACCTTCGGGCCAACTGTGGCACTCGGACTACACCAACCGTCGTCTCTCCTTCCACCTCTCCCTCGCCTCCTATGCCGTCAGCTAACGTTGGCTGTCCTCCCGAACCACCACTTCCATTTTCCTCCTCCCCCACCGCCTCAACGCCTACCGCCGTGGCGTCCGTCACGCACACCAACATTACACACAAACCTGACACACCAACAAAAACCAGCACCACCACCGTCAACGCCAGTGGTGAGTACCTGGTCTATACCTGCCCTCACTGCGACCGCACCTTCACCTCACACATCGGCCTGGTCGGTCACTTTCGAGTCCATCACACAGAGACTTGCGGACCAGTGCCTGGAGCACAAACCTGCACCCGCCACATTCTTCATCACTGCCCACACAGCCCTCGCACATTCATACACCTTATGGGCCTATTCGGCCACATGCGTATCCATGAGAGCGAAAATGACCGCAGCCCTGACACACCCAGCACACCCACCATGCTCAGCCCAACCTGCACACCTTCTCCCAGCGCGCCCACCACCACCGCAGCTAATACTGATCTCGCGGACTTCTCGTGTCCACAATGTCTGGACGAAGACGGTGCGTCGAGCACCGTGACTCGGAAAGCAGCTGACTGACGCCCCAACCCAGTCAACGCAGTCTACCCAGTTGTGTGTGTGTGTTGTGTAGTAGCGGACTGGTGGGCTGAGCGCCCGCCTGAATCGGCTCCTTCTCCAGCGATCTGTGACACTCTCATGCATGTGAGGAGAGTATGTGTACTCTATGCGCAATGCCCTTCAGTCGAAGACTGTTTGGTTACGTAACTTTGAAGGGTGACGGCCCAAGCTATATGCGGGACCACGTGTTGCCCTTCTAGGTCAAAAGGTTTGTAAGCGTGTGCCATGCCAGTATCAGTAAACAATCGCCCTCGCATCCTGGTATGCGCCCTGGTTCCCTGCCGGTAGATGTGCTTGCGCTCCCGCTAGGTACACAGGTGATGAGCATGGCTGCCCAGTAATTCTCGTCATTCTGGCCCCTGTTGGAGTGTTGTTGTTGTTGTTGGTGAAAAATCCCGGTAATTTGCTCTGTGAACCAGGGGGTGTGGTGGCACACGTAGGTGAGGCTCCGGCCGTGTCAGCCTCCTGCGCCCTCCCCCACATTTGGTGTTATTGACTCTGCCTCGAAACCGGGTCCAGTTGGGGAGTGGGGAGGAGAGTGTGCGGTAGATGCTGTGCAAGTCTACTATCATTATAAACTAACTTACGCACCAGTTCATATCACAAAATTTTCTCCTACCGGAAATGGAACTAAGTCTTTATCAAATGTTCGTTCTTCCTGTCCTCGAATACTGTTGTCCTTTCTTCGGTTTAATGGACGCCTGTGAGCGTAATTAAATCGAAAATAGTTAGAGCGTTTTCATCCGAAAATTCTTCTCTCAAGTCGCATGCGGTATTTCTTATACTCAGCGATTTCAGCTGGCGAACTTTAAGTTTTTGTGAATTAGAAGACTCGGGGTGGCCTTTACTTCATTTTCGCATTAACTCTAACCCCAGTCCCCCGCGCACTGAAACTCGTACTCCAAGAGATCCGTTTCATGCCCCGCGCAAATCCTCCATGGTGATTCCGCCGACTCTTTGCACTACATCTAAACTCTCCTCTTTTTTGCTTCCACATTCGCCTTCCTTTGGAATAATCTTTCAGCAGAACTTAGAACGTTGGCTAAGTTATCGGTGTTCAAATAAAAGTTTCGTAAGCACCTTACACCAGAAAGGTGCTTTCTTGACTCTAGCTTGACACCGGGTCCAGTTGGTGAGTGGGGTAAAGAGTGTGAGGTAGATGCTGTGCAAGTCTACTATCACTATAACCTAACTCACGCATAAGTCGACGTCTCTGCTCCTCCTTGCTGTAGAGCACACGGTCTACATCTTCGAAACCGACAGTCGAACTACTCTACTTCATGTGTCATCCTGTACAGCTGAATTTAAAACTCATAGGCTTTTCTGCCGTCCTGTTAAGAAGTGGTTTTATGCATTGGAACTACTGGCAAGATCGCAGTTGGTAGCCAGGAATGGGAAGCGGACGGCGAATATAATCCTAATCCTAACTTCAACCCTTACCCCAACCTCAACCTTAAACGTTAACCGTTAACCCCATCGGCATACCTAACCCTAACCCTAACCTAAATCGGAAGGAAAGCTAGGTCATCGTTCTTACTTTTCCGTTTATTTTCAAAATCAGCAAAATATCATTTATAGCAAACTTTTGTCAACTGGGTCGTTAATTTAAACGATTCGGTTGAATACTCCGCCGTCCAGTCACTGCCCTCCTGGCTGTGGTTGTGCTTCCAAAACGTTTTAGGCGTCTGTCGAGAATAATATCTGTGATGTCATTCCTTGTTTAATCCTTTAAATTCTTCTTGAAATTGACCGATGTTTCACATTTCCAGCACTAACAAATGTGCACACAGTATAGTCAACATAGATCGAAGGCTTTACTTTAATAATTTCAACTTGCTAGCAGATTCTCTCAGCTCTTCTGGGAGCGGGTACAATGGAAATGCCACAGTGCAAAGCACAAACTTGCCGGGCGCTTATACCGATGTTCCAGCAACGTTTTTTGTCTGGTGTTAGTTTGCTATTGTCAATTATACAACTATTATTCTTTCGATCCGAAATTCTGCTAATAATGTGAGAAACGGGAACGGGTATTACCTTATGACAGGTTGTTTTGCGCTAAATCCCGAGGAATATCTGTTCCCGTCTCCTAACCTTAACCCAACCCCCCCCCCTCCCTGTAACTTAGTGCAAGGCCATCTGCAATACGGGGGAAATCTAGTCTAGTGTTCTGCCAAAAAACCGGCCATATGTTTTTGAAGTTGTTTGGGATCTCGGAGACTTGTTTATATATCGAAAAATAAGCTCCAAAGCCGACTTTGAGCAAACTCATTGTTCTTATTTTCAGAAAGCAGCTGCGGTGCACGTTGCCAAAGGCTTCTAATTACTTTCAGAGACCAAACTGAAGAACTTGAGTCAATCTTCAGTTTAGGAGACTTAGTGGTTATAGGGTGCTGTTTCCATAGATAAACAAAAAAATGGTAAGAGGGGTGGTTGCTGATGTTCATATTCCCTGCCCTCCATGTACTGATTTGTGTCTCTTTACAAAGTTCAGGGGTGCATTATGTCCCAAAACGCGCAAGGTTACCGAAATCTAAAATCTTGTTTATATATATTTCCATACTTTCAAATGAAAGCATCAACTAAAATGATGTTTAGATACTGCTCGGCGTGGAACATAACTCTGCATAGTAGAATAAAAGCTCTCGGCTGCACTACTTTCCCGTCATCCGTGTAAGTACATTCTGTGGAGAAAAGATTGCGAACTCGGGATCTCTTGGGATGTTAGCATTATTATTAGTGTAGCCTAACATCTCCCGGTTTTGTAATGCTCATCCTAAGGTGATGTCTGCAGTTTGGACTTTCCACAAACCCTATGGGACCTCTTCACAGTCACACGCAGAACGAGGTTGATTCGCTCTGAAACTAGTCCATTAAATGCAATTTGAAAAGGGTAAGGATAAGGGAGAACGCGGGCTGTGTTTAAAGGTATGCGTCGATTAGTATGCGTTTTTCTGAGCCAAAAATAATCGTTTTCATTAAACTTTAAATTTGAAGAAGACGTACGTTCTCATAAAGTGTGCGTAACATGCAACAAAGTGTGATATAAGTTATGTGGGTAGTTATAGTGAGTGATAAAAATGTATTGTTTTCGCGAGGATCTTTCCAAATGGAACAACCAAAATCCGTCTAGTTAACACGTGCGGACTTAGCCAGGATTCTCATCCATGCCTATAAATATTGCAGCCGTGTTTCTACGTCGACAATTTTCCGTTAGAGTTTCATTATATTCGAATCACATTGCGTAGCCGAATGGAGACAGCGTTTCTTCTTTATGCGTGCCTTGCTCGGCCATCGTTGCATCCCTGGGATGAGGTTGGATGAGTGCATAAATGTACTGCCACCTGTGTGGAGCGCATCAAGAAAAATAACCCCTTTGGTAGTATATGATTTATATTAACTGCCACCGCTTGCTTTGACGAATTTATTTCATCCAGAAAGGGCATGTATACACTAGTTGTGCCTCCGTTTGAGGACAATTCCTTATTAAACAAATTTTACACAAAAAGGAAGGCTGTACAGCAGTTTTGCAAAATTGGCTGATTTATGCATACTTTTAGACCCAAAGTGTAGGTTCATTTGGACATATGATTTGTAAATTAAACGCCACGCTTTTCCTGCATAGCAAGTTCATGTGTATTTTCATGTCCCTGTGAGGAGGTTTATTAGGGCTTTTGAAATACAAAATTAGGTGCGGAGTACTCTGTTTACCTTAAAAACGGAGTTCTTACACTATCGGACAATTGACTGCGCGCTAACGTCTCAAAACTTAATTTAATCAAAAAACCTTTAGAACCAAATACACATTTTCTTCATGTACAAATATAAAGATGACACTACCTATCAAATGAGTACACAAATGTGCTTTATACGCACCCTTCCAAGCGCACATCATTGCTGTCTGGGATAAATATACACTAAGGGGCTATTGATTTTTCGTGATGACCAAAACGATATGCAATCAGCAGTTCGCATGATGCCGTGTGGTTCATGTCCCGTGCCAAACAGCATTTAAATTTCACTCAAGTACTCTTTTCTACTTAAAAGCACGTTTTCCGAAATGTGGTCATGTTTCATAAGTTTTGGCGCACGCGCCTTGTCCTGCCTCCTCGAATGGGCGTCATATGTCACAACCTTTTTGTTGAAATTGAGCCCATCCGCAAAACACTTCTTTTAGGAGGGAAGACTACTCCTTTAGGCACCTGAATACGTGCCCCCGTATTACAGGTAACCTTACCTTAAATTCCAGAGGGAGTTGGGTTAGCCTTGATGTTAGCGTTGGGTCTATGGGGTTAGGGTTAAAGCCAGTATAAAGACTGGGGTTGGGGTTGGAATTACTGTTAGAGTTAAGACACGGAATAGGTATCCCATGATATTTAGCAGGAGGCCACCTGTGGTAGGGGAGATTCATATTCTCCTGTCCGACTGAATATTCAAGCCAATGATCTTCTACAACGGACCACGCGGGGATTGCGCTGGACCAATAAAGTGGAGCACGGCACGCGTTGTTGGACAGCGCACCCATAACAAATGCAATACAGGGGTGAACACGCCTGTGCGCAGGCTCCCGCCGCGTTTTCCGTCCACTCTCAATCCCTCCTCTGGTCATTTACCCTCTGTCTTCACGCCGGGTCCAGGAGAGAAAGGGGGAGAGGGTGCGGTAGATGTTGTGCAAGTCAGTGAGTGACCGATCTCATGAAATGTTGACCGAAATTCGGAAATGCCTCTTCGATTAGGAAGAATTACTTAGGTCCCCTTACAATACTGATTATCAAGCGGCATAATGCTATAATGTTTCGGACTCCTTAGGATGTCAGATTTTGAATGCATTTTTTGACCTTCTAAAGAAACCGTGCTTGGTAAGAAATGACCACTTAAGTAGCATGCATTTTTAGCCCTTATTTTTGTTGGTCTTATATATCCAAAAATACTTCATAGGAAAAATACATAAAAATATGCTTCTT